TCATGATGCAGTCACCTGTTGACATCACCCGTTTCAAATAGTCATCATTTCGTTGTTTTACCTTGAAATGCAACTGTTCCAACGTTTTTTGGAATGTGTTACAAGCATCAGAATTGACATGAGTGTTTATTCTGAACAGTATAGTTAATGAGGCATCACATCAAATAATGTGCTGCTGTATTGTTTTCAATGTAATACAGGACACAGATGATTTGCATATCACTATTTTCAGTTTTACTGAAAGTTTTTGTGTGGTGGATACAGGTCACCTTGCCTGAAGTTGAGACTATCACCATCATATCATAAAAAAAGTTCACTTTTGTGAAATAACACTGTCAAGGAACAAGAGCAGAAGTGCAGTGTCACACAAAGTATTTTAATCTATAGTTTAAAGTAGCACAGCCTGTTTGTTTCTCTTAACTTTACTATGAAATCAGTTTTGCTCCATACGTTATTTTTCTAGGGATGGAGGCAGTTCGTCCTCCCATCGTTCAAGACGCCACCGCTCCTCTCATTCCAGAGAAGAAGGTGGAGAGCGGGATCGGGAAAGAGAGAGGAAACATCGACACAGGGACAGGCATCGCTCTCGCTCCCACTCTCACAGGCGCAAAAAGAAGAGGTGAGGAGTTTATCAATCACCGAAGCCTACAGAAAGCATCAATAAGATGGTTACTGGTCTGAGAGTATTTCCTTAACTAATTCACTCAGATCAAGTCACATTACCAGTTGACCAGTGGTCACGCATCAGCTGTTACCTCCTGTTCAGACACACAGACAAAGTGAATGCAGGCAGAGTTGGTTTGATACAACAAGCTTATTTGAGATTAATCAGATCTGCGCTGAATCATCACCAGCAATTGCCACACAATGCCTGCTGGTTAGATTTTGTCCAACTTGATCCCTGTTTCCTGTGATGTAAAGCAGACATAGGCAGTAATATTCTCACGACATCAAAGTGGTGGCTGCTTTTGTTGTCAAGTGCAGCAATTTGCTCTCCACTGACTGAGCTTAGGGTGTAGTTCAAAATGTCTGGCTCTCTGCTGATCCAATAGCTGATTGGTTTATATGCTGGATCAATAACATGATATGTTATGGAAACTAAACAATTGGCGGAGGTCAGAAATTGCTGGTATTCAGCATGATTGGTCTTGACCGGTGACTGGCCGATCACTCTGAGATGTCCAATTCTGTGCCATTCAAGTTTAGAGACACGACAGTCCACATTGCACTCGCAGTGACAGCCCAAAAGTGTAGCATGTGCAGCACGTAGCATCTCACAGGCACCTCGAGCGAGACTAGCTCTTGTGTCCGTACTGGGCACGTGTTCACTCATGCATTGGAAGCGCTTGTTGTACAAAGAGAGACACAGAGGAGCCTACGCAAACACCTTGGAGAAGAGAATCTGCGTCCAAATCTCAGACAAATAGTTCACAATGAGGGAATTAGTGGCTGCACATGAAATGCATGTATATGTACAGTGAATCCAACCCGTCCAACAGACAATCTTCTGAGTACAAATACTGCACTTCATTTTTAATTTGTAAAAAAAAAAAATAAGAGAAAGGCAGAGATGTAAAACTTTAATACTGTTATAATTTTATTACAGTTTTACAAAATGTCTCTATGCTCTTAATTACAGTTCTTAGACAAAAAGAAAATCTGAATTGGCACAGACTCAAAAGAAAAAATCGAAATTGTGATCGGCCAAGAAAACTGCAATTTGTGCATCTCTAATAGAAAAGTATGATTTCTTGTTTAACTGAAGAGGTGCATGCATGACACATTGTGCTTTTTGAAATTGTAATGGTCATTTTTCACAAATTTCTGCTATTTAAACTAATTGTCAGACATACTAATAATTGATAGATGAATCAGTAATGAAAGTAATTAGCTTAGCACTAGATGAAATATATTTATATGAAATATAAATAACAATTAGTTTTAACACAGGGCAGCTGATTATAGATTAAAATATTATATTCTACAGTTGAACTGTACTGTCCATAATGATTACAAAAAACAAATCATTGCCTGATTGTTTCTCCTCAGGTCCTCCAGGGATCGATCATCTCACACCCATGACAAAGAACACTCATTGTCCCAGGAGAGATGGAGAGAGGGTGCAGGAGAGGGATGGCGTGATGACAGGGTGGAGGACAGGGTGGAGTACGCAGACTGGGAGAACAGGGAGAGGTCCAACTCTCCAGACACAGCCAGAGCCAGGGAACGAGAAAGGTCCCTGTCATACGAACGGGATCGACGCTCAAGCTCCGAGGAGAGAGAGTCTGGGGAGATATGAACAGGATGCCTCCAGCATGGAGAGATGAGAGCGTGTTGGTGCAAATGTGTGCGTGCAAATGTGTGCGTACAGGTCAGCTTTCTGTGTGTGTGTTCATGTTAAAAGTGAGACGTACATTAGCGGGGGTGGACGGTGGAAACTTAACATGAGTGTGAGGGAACAACTTCAGCAGTGGCGTCAAGGAATCATTCAAACCAACTTTTATAAAAAGGCTAGAGAGACATGGAGCCAGAGCAAGTCATTTTTTATGCGACCTTATTGATCTTATTGTACAGTTCTTTGGCAGTGTTAAGGGAAAAGTGAGTGAAGAGACTGAAGCCCTACTTTAAATCAGTTTTTATTTTATTCACATGAAGTGCTGTTATTTTGTATGTTTAGTTTGACCTTTGAGTTTTTCTTTTCCATTAGGACTCTTATCAGTTTCAGTAGTAATTGATTCATTCACACAGGTTAGACTCATTAATGTGGCCTAACTTGCGGCGGTGTTTGAAATGAGCTGTGAATGGCTGAAGGCACTTCTGATGTTTGTGTATTATTTGCTACCTTCAAACCATAGCAGTCGCATTTGGGAGGTCTGATACACACCCTTGAGCCTTGCCTTTAATTCAAGATGCAGGAATGAGCTCTTACTTTAAAAATAAAGTCACTTGTCCCTCTGAGAACAGTCATATATTTCCACTCAGTTCCTGGCATTTGAATGCATATCACTAATGTGCATATTTACATACTGACACTTAAAGGCCCAGGGACTTGTCCTGCTTGCTGTGATACTTCATGGGGGGTGGGGGGGTCTACTTTTCCTGTCCCACCATAAGGTGAATAAAACTTCTGCTTCCATTCAAATACAGTGTGTTTACAGATTTATTTCATTGTGTATGTATACACTTTGTTTATTTGAAGCATTTTATATTATTTGACATCATTGCAACATCTTTGTCAGCAACGGTTTTGTGGTTATAGAGCTTGTGCTGTAGCCAGAGGTTGTCTTTTTTTTATCCCCTCCTTTCAGCTTTATTGATGTGTAGCACTACTGTACATGGATATACAATGTGTGTTCAATTCAAGGTACACCTGTACAGTGTATTCACCCCCTTGGATGTTTTGCCCTTCTATTGATTTTATAAATCAGTCATGGTCAGTATAATTTGGCTTTTTTGACAAAAAAAACTTTTTAATGTCAAAGTGAAAACTGGTTTCTACAAAATGTAATGTCAAAAATGTAATGGGAAATAAGTGATTGCATAAATATTGACCCCCTTCAAGTCAGTATTTAGTAGAGGCACCTTTGGCTGCAATCACAGCACTGAGTCTGTGTCAATAGGTCTCAGTCAGGCTTGCACATCTGGACACTGCAGTTTTACTCTGCCAGATTGCACGGGGATCGGGCGTGAACAGCCCTTTTCAAATCCAGCCACAAATTCTTTATTGGATCGAGGTCTGGGCTTTGACTCAGCCACTTCAGAACACTCACCTTGTTGTCTTTAAACCATTTCTGTGTAGCTTTCGCTGTATGCTTCGTGTCATTGTCTTTCTGGAAAAATGAATCTTCTCCCAAACTGTAGTTATCTTGCAGACTGTAATAAGATGGTCCTCCAGGATTTCCATTTTCAAGTTAGGATTGCCATATTCATTTTACCCTCTACCTTTATAAACCTTCCAGGGCCCCCTGCCGAGAAGCATCCCCACAGCATGATGCTGCCACCGCGGCGCTTCACAGTGGGGATGGTGTGTTTGTGGTGATGTGCAGTGTTTGGTGTCTGCCAAACATAGCGTCTTGTCTGATGGCCACAAAGCACCATTTTGGTCTCATCATACCAAAGAACTTTCTTCCACTTGACCATGGAATCTCCCATGTGCCTTTTGGTGCTACTCTAGCCGAGATTTAGCATGGGTTTTCTTCAACACTGGCTTTCTCTTTGCCACTCTCCCATTAAGCTTTGACAGGTGAAGAACCTGGGCAACAGTTGTTATATGCAGAGTCTCTCCCATCTCAGCTGTTGAAGCTTGTAACTCCTTCAGAGTAGTCACAGGTGTCTTGGTGGCCTCTCTCACTAGTCTCCTTGCACGGTCAGTCAGTTTGTGAGGACGGCCTGATCTAGCAGATTTAGACGTGTGCCATATTCTTTCCATTTCTTGATGATGGATTTAACTGAACTCTGGGGGATGTTCAGTGCCTTAGAATTTTTTGTATCCGTCCCCTGACTTATACTTTCCAATAACCTTTTCTCTGAGTTTCTTGGAGTGTTCTTTTGTCTTCATGGTGTAATGGTAGCCAGGAATACTGTTTAACCAGTGATTGGACCTTCCAGACACAGGTGTCTTTATTTTACAGTCACTTGAGACACATTCACTGCACTCTGGTGATCCCCATTTCACTAATTGTGAGACTTCTAGCACCAGTTGGCTGGACCTCTTGAATTAGGTCAGTCATTTTAAAGGGGGGGAATGTTTATGCAATGACTTTTTTCCCATTACATATTTTTGTAGAAACCTGCTTTCACTTTGACAGAGTTTTTTTGTAATTTTTTGTCAAAAACGCCAAATTATATTGACCATGATTGATTTATAAAATCAATAAAAGGGTAAAACATCCAAGGGGGTGAATACTTTCTAGGCGCTGTATGGTGTAATGCAACACAGCTGTATCAGCTGCAGCCGGGCTGTAGGTGGCGCAAAATAGCTGGCTATTGAGAAAACGTCACAGCGTCGTGACATCACGTCGACACATCCGTCAGACGCACGTTCAGAAAAGAAGCGCGAGATAACCTGTTGTGGCAAGGAAGGTTTTGAAATTTGGTTTAATTTACTGAGTTTAAGAAACTGGGATTGTTTTAAGTGTTTATATTAGGATGTCGTTGCTGCAGCCATTTAATAAGCTGCCTAGTTTGAACACAGCGAACATCTTGGTGAGTTTGTGTTTCATTAATCTTTACTGAGCTTCACACGACAGTTTTAACGTTGCTCTCCATGAAAACAAAGCAGCTGCTAAGGTACGACAGATTTATCGGCTTTCCGGCTGAGATAAAAGTCGACTACAAGTATTTTAAAGTGAGATGGGGTAGGTTTGTTCAGTCTTAACTACGACAATAATGGTTCCCAGGTCTCCCCAAGGAATCACAGGATAAATCTGGATAGATGGAAAGATTAGTAGGATAAAGAGAAGATACATTGCTCTCTTGCAGTATAGTTCTATGAATGCTATTTTAACTGTTTAGCCTTATTGAGAAATGCGGGATAGTTTAACTTATTCACAACTCTAATTAAACATCAGAAAGGAAAATCACTTTTTGTATTAGATAGAACTGTAAAACTTGCCAGAAATGTATCTGGCTGCTGTACATGTACAGTCAGGGAAAAAAATTATTTGAACCCCAGCTGATTTTGTAAGTCTGCCCACTAACAAACAAATGATCAGTCTACAATTTCAATGGTAGGTTTACCAACTATTTTTTTGGTGACTATGGTCCCAGCTGCCTTGAGATCATTGACAAGTTCCTCCAGAGTAGTTCTGGGCTGATACCTCATCATTCTCATTATCATTGAAACTCCACGAGGTGAGATCTTGCGTGGAGCTCCAGACCGAGGGAGATTGGCAGTTAATTTATGTTTATTCCATTTGCGAATAATCGCACCAACTGTTGTCACCTTCTCACCCAGCTGCTTGGCGATGGTCTTGTAGCCCATTCCAGCCTTGTGTAGGGCCACAGTCTTGTCCCTGACATCCTTGGAAAGCTCTTTGGTCTTGGCCATGGTGAAGAGTTTGGAATCTGGATTGATTGATTGATTCTGTGGACACGTCTCTTTTATACAGGTAACGAGCTGAGAGGGCTCCTAATGTCAGCTCGTTACCTGTATAAAATACACCTGGGAGCCAGAGATCTTGCTGACTGATAGGGGATCAAATACTTATTTCATTCATGAAAATGCAAATTAATGTATAACTTTTTTTGTAATGCATTTCTCTGGATTTTTTTGTTATTGTTGTGTCTCTCACTGTTCACATAAACCTACCATTGACATTGTAGACTGATCATTTCTTTGTTAGTGGGCAAACTTACAAAATCAGCTGGAGTTCAAATAATTTTTCCCTGACTGTATGTCTTACCTGGGCTGGGTTCAAATACTATATTTTGTCTTGTTCCTAGGCAAGGCTGCTCCATCACTCACCCCATGACTGCAAATAAAAACAGTCAGCTGGCTAACACTGCCACATTACAGTAAATGTGGGTTAATGAGAGTTGTTCTTATATATTAATACAAGAAATGAGTATTCCGGCATCACGGGGACACACAGTTCACAAGTGTACTCTTGCAAACAAATGGCTAACAGTAAACAGAATTCTTTCGCTCAGTAAACCCTCACTTGTCACGGATAATTATCCGTGAGCTGCCTGGCTAACTTAACACCAAATAATTAACTTCCAGGACAATATATAACTTACCAGCTGAGTACTGGAAACCTTGTAGAAAAGGAGACTGGTCGGCTATTTACAAAAGGATAACGACCAGAGACACACTCATGTGTTATAAAATAAACTTCCACGTTTACGGAGAACGAACAACGAGGTGTTGTGTTGAGATGGGTTTCCCCTAACCGGAACCCCACCTTATCCTAAACAAAGACGGAGGGGGCGCTACCACAAACACGGTTTTACCGGGGGGAAGACATCTCCACGGGGAAACACAAAACAGTGACAACCGGCTAGCCGAGCTAAAACAGCTAGCTACACGTCCGGCTAGCAAGCCAATTAGCTTGCGTTCAAATATAACTAGAGCACCTGGGGCAATTTTCAATTAAACGAAAAGACCAACATTATGCCAGTCATACTGATTTTGCCTTACGCCGACCATAAAAACATTGTAACTTTAACTGAGAATTTAGCTAGCAATAACAATCACGGTTGTCTGTAGCAAGATGCTCTTCTTCAAACACAAACGAGCAAGCAATAACTAACCACTGGTGTGTTGCTGCCACCTACAGGGACCGACTGCACATTGCAGTCCTTACACATAAAAAGCAGACAATTAAAACAAGGCAGAAGAAAACTGGTTCTTCCTCGGGTGTCATAACGTGCTCGATATAAATATTCACATAGAAAACGAAGGGTGAGATGCCACATTTCTCCATTCATTATATGTGGTGACATTTCTGGAGACTTGCCCATCCTCCTGTAATTCAAATCCCACCTGGGGTGACATCCTTGGATTTTATAGTGAATCTCAGATTTTTTTCCCACAGGAAGAGCTGCTTGTTTAACTCCACTCAGTGTGGAATGTGACCTTTTGAGAGAAAACTGATCAGGTCAAAAATTAAATTCACTCATTCAGTGCATGGGAGTGCAGCTGAGACCTGCTTACAGTAACATATGGCCACAGTTGCTCTGGCTAATGGTTAACTGGGGCACTGCTGACCCCTGGGAGGCACAGCACAGACACACAGGTTGTACAGGCATGTGAGGAGAGGTGAGAGTCACTTCTGTTTCAAACTCAGCACCTTGTGTTTGATCATTTCCACGTGCATCTGCAGGCCTTTTCCACGAACATCCCCGATAGTATTATAGTTGTCTCTGCCAGTTCTGTCATCAGATTGGTGCCCACATGTAGACTGATTGTGCCATCTTCTCTGGCAGTCTGGCAAGTAAAAATCTGTTTGTGTCCACCTGAAGTTACCTGTATAAAATACACCTGGGAGCCAGAGATCTTGCTGACTGATAGGGGATCAAATACTTATTTCATTCATGAAAATGCAAATTAATGTATAACTTTTTTTGTAATGCATTTCTCTGGATTTTTTTTGTTATTGTTGTGTCTCTCACTGTTCACATAAATTGACATTGTAGACTGATCATTTCTTTGTTAGTGGGCAGACTTACAAAATCAGCTGGGGTTCAAATAATTTTTTCCCTGACTGTATGTGGCAATGAAAGTTGTTATCACAGAGCACAAGAAAAAATATATTCTCATTCTTGTATATTTTGAATAAACAGTATATATTTAAAACTACCACAGTATAACAGATATTTAAAAGTACTGCACTCAAAATTTAGCTCAAGTTAGATGTGTGGATGCATTGCAGTAAGTGTGCATAAAAATCCATCCATCCATCCATTTTCCTCCGCTTATTCGGAACCTGGTCACAAAAAAATATATACAACTAATTGAACAAGTGGATGAATACCTCCACATCATGCGTCTCTGAGCTTGTGGTGAGGACCTGATGTTCCAACACATAGTCCAGACGCTTATGATCTGAGTAGATTGAGAGAATTTTGTCAGTTTTCAACCTAAGATATGGAGAAACATTTTCAACAGTGGATGATGCTGGTTTCTTACCCTCTAGTACAGTGATCCACACTGTACCATCACAGAGATAGAGGGCTTTCCTGAGCGGATTGAACCACAGCTGACCTTGAAGCAGCTCTGAACATGATCGTTCTGACCCTACTGACACTCGCTCCTCTGTTTCTGAGAGTACATCATCAAAACATATCCAAACAGACAATTAAAAAGCGAGGAAAGAACACAGATGAGCAAATACAGTAAATCATGTCATGCCTTGAAAAATAAACACTCCAAAAAGTTACCATAGTGTGTCAGGTGGCTGTCCTTCTCCCTCCCCTTGACAGGCAGGTCTAAGAGAAGTGGTGGTACTGACCACGCAGATAGCTGGGGATCGG